TGGTGCCGATGTGTGATTTTCGCCGAAAGCACTACAAAATCGATTGTTCAAGCATGCACCAAGTGTTGTCTTCGCAAGAATTGCTACCGAAAGTGGAAGTTGAAAACAAAAACGGAACAACAAGCATGGTAATTCTTCCACAAAAGGATTTCAACGCTGCGCGTGATCATTGGTGGAATCAGTATTTCTACATGCGGAAAATTCGGCGATTCGTGCGTGGAAAAAAGAAGTTTGATTTTTCCATAAACACCGATGGAATCGCTGTGTCTCTGCAATACTCGGCCAAAAAGAAGACGAATAGCACAGAATACGACCGTTCTCGCATCGTTGAAATGATTTTGGATGGCAAATTCGAAAATTTTGCAGGCGTTGATACAGGCTTGAAAAGTTGGAACACCACAGTGACACACAACATTATAACTGGCACCGAAGTAAGTTTTTACATTTATGTTGTATATGTATCAATGGAAGATAGACCGCGTAAGTGCTAAAATTCAATAACTATTCATTTATTTATTTTCAGACTAACTTCGTAATGTCGAGTAAGCAGTTTCACTGGAAAACAGGCCAAAACGTGCGAAATGCCAAAGCAAAGCGTTGGACCAAAAAGTTTACCGAAGAGGAGCGCCGAGACAGAGAGAACCGTGAGCTGTACCCGGTGATGCCATCACCAAAAGGGTCACATTGGCTGGACTACATCAAGCACCGAATCAAGATGATGAAGCATGGAATCTGCGCTTACTCGACTGCCAAGTACACTCGACTCGCCTTGGACAAACACATCAAAAGTAGTAGTGTTGTCGACAATTGGGTGGAAAAGGTTACCGATAAGCAGCCGACTTTGTTTCTTTTTGGTGCTGATGGCGAAGTACCACCTGACAGCCGAATAAGTATCAAAAAGCACGTGCGGTGTCCAGGGGTTCGTTTGACTTTGAGGTCAATAAAGAAACGTCGAGATTGTGCCATAGAGCTGGTGGACGAATGGGGATCATCTCAAACAGACGCAAGATGTATGAAGCGATTCCAAAACCAGCCCAAATCGGCCAGATTCAAGAAATGCCGGTGCATACCCGACGCCAGAACATTGCTGCCAATAAAAATTGTGTCAAAGTTGGGCAAGAAGGATCTATCGGAATTTCGATTGTTGCAACGCGCCATGAACGAAGCATTGGAAGAAAACGAGCCTTTATTGTCAAAAGTAAAAAGTTACTATAAAAACTGGCAATTAAACCTCGAATGCTCTGTGACTTGGCATCGTGACGTCGTGGCTGCTAAGAACATTCTGCTGAAAGGTAAGGCTAATTGACGATACAATTGCGATTGAATGATTGCTTAAGAAGATTCATTTGTTTGATTTTTCAGGACTATGGACATTGCTAGGACTTCCGATACCGGATGCGATCAATAGATATAAAGCCCGCGATGCTGTCGCTGAGGCCGCCGAAGTAGCCGCTGATGTCGCTGAAGCAGCTGCTGCTGCTGCCGCCAACGTAGATAATGATGTAGAAATGTTCGAGTACGACCAGCAGCCAGCTGATCATGCTGTCTAATCAGCACAACGCAAACAAAAAAAAAACAATTGTAACATTAGTTATTAAGGCTATCCCGACCATGTGGGATAGTAGCGTAGCAAAAGGTTGACACCCCATTTGGTTGTTGTTGACTGCGCAGGAGTACAAATGGGGCGTTTTTTCTTTGTAAGTAACATTCAATTTTGAAAACAGTTTTTTGCTTCGGGAAGCGTGACCATCAGTCGATGCTTTGTGTAAATGTCATGATTTGTCTTAGAATTTTTTGCACTTTTAATTAACGACTACCATTTTTTTATTTTCAGATATGAGAAACACCCTAATGTACAATAAGTAAAGTCATCAAATTTACATTACGGCAGACCGAATAAATTGCAATTTCATAGTTAATCAACAATTAAGCATTCCGTTTACAAGCATAAAAATGCAATTTTTCCTTTTTTCCATGGAAAAGAACAAATACGCTCATTCTTTGTCATTACGAATGCTTGCAACTATATACAAAAAAGAGATTTTAATGAAGCAAAAAAAACTTTTTTTTGGCAAAGTTATTTGAACATAAAGTTTCATTTGGAGTAAAAAATACAGTTGTAGTATGGATTCGCGTAATGCGATGTAATGTCTCCTCTTCGGAAGAAATTTTTTCCGGGTTTGTGTTTATGTGTGTCGGCGTCACACTGCCGTTATGTGTCGTCGGTAACGGTAAATCTTTTTTAAGCTCGAGACGCAGAACAAACAAAAAGTTCGCTGTTGGAGAAAAAAAGATTGATGAAAAAATGAACATGCGACAAATGTGACAAAGCTCGAAAATGCACTAGATTTTCCATAAGCGTCATCACCGTTGCCAAGCCAGAATCAAAAAAGGAGACAGAGAGTTTCTTGTTGATGGTTCGGATAATAATAATTTTATCTTGCTTTGCAATCACTCATTTTTACTGTGTACGTCGACAACTTTTCCGTGTCGAGGCACCCAAAAAAAAAAAAACTTTTTGGATGAGAAACAAGAAAACTGGGCACATGTACATTGATTTTTTTTTTCTTAGTTTAATGGCTTACTTTGGTATATAATCTAACCGCAATATCCTTTGATAACTTCGGTGAAGTTCTTTTTTCGCATGTTGACGTTGATCATGATCTCGAATAAAAACATTTTTCGACCATTTTTTTTACTGCCATTTCATTTTGTGTAAAGCCGTCAATACATGGATCATCATCATCAACTTAAGACATCAATTGTAACGCTTTCAAGTTGTCTTTTTTACGTTCGCGAAAAAAACTTCTTTCAAGTTATGCGGTGCAACTAAGAAAAATTCATACAAAAAGGAGGAAAAAATGCTTGACGATAATTTGGAATTGAAAAAAAAATTATCTATCGCGTGGCCTTGAGATAAAATCCGATTAAATTTCCAATTTAAATGCGTTACCAAAATCATTTTGTTACCAATATATTTTCGATGGCGGCCAAATTTCAATAAACTTTTTTAGGAGGGAGCAAATTAAAATTAATCCGGCGATAAGGAGCCCAAAAGACTTTGATACATTCAATATACACGAATAAAAGATAAAGCGAGAGCCGATTTTTGTGTGGCAATGTGCTATGTCATTGGTTTTGTATTTGTACAAGATGTTGCCGTTTTTCTAGGAACACCATCTCTCTCTCTTTCTCTCTCTCTCTCTCTCTCTCTCTCTCTCTCTCTCTCTCTCTCTCTCTGTGTGTGTGTGTGTGTGTTCTTAACGCTGAATGCGTATCGATTTTCTCTAAAACACCAGCAATATTTAGCGTTACATTGAACGGTATTTCGTCATTTTCATTAGCCTCTCACTAATGACGTCATAGTGGTATATAATTTTCTTTTTCGACACATTGGTTAACGCAAACGAGTTTGTTCATACCGCACTTCCCTTAAAGACTGACAACCAAGTATAAAACATCAGAAGAACCAAACCTGAAAAGGAAATAATATTCTTCTCCAAAAAAATGTTTCATGCTTTTTTAACTCGCCATTAATTTTTGCATGAGATTTGTCATCAATTGCGTTGTGTTCATTTGCTGCTTCATTAAGATTGTCACATTTTTAAGTGTTCTCACGCAGAAAAATACGTACTTCAAGCGACCCGATCGAAAATTGCATAGCATTTGCTGCTATCGGTGTTGCCGCTGATTTTTTTCCCTACATTTTCAATGTGCGTGTTTGACTAAGCTTCAAAAGAACAACAAACGACGAGCAAATACATGAGAGCTTAAGGCTCATTAATATTCTCTTCTTTTTATTTTCTCCTCATTTTCTCGTTTCATATAAAATGTAAACATAAACAATAAACCGTCAGATAAGCGTTCATTGTTCATGCTTGCAAATCATCGAGTCAAAGATGTGCCTTTTGGCTGTAAATGATGCACACAAGCACACACACACACACCGGCGCGTTCGCGTCAACCAACAAACCTCTACATAAAGATAATAAGTGCAGAATGAAAGAGCCATCTGAAATTTATACATAAGCTATTATATATGTATATAGCTCGGGTTTTTTTTAATGAAAGTGGCCGGGAGCTTTGTTTTTGAAGAAACTCAACTTGAATTTGAATTTCCCGAAAAATGTGCAAAAAGGGACGAAATAGGATGGAGAAAGAGAAGTAGAGAAGGAATAACAAAAGAATAAGAAAATAATTTCGTTGTGATGTGCTGTGCATGGTCTTTTTTTTCGCTCGTTGTTTTGTATGTGCGTGTATCATTATTTTTGTTTAAAAACGTTCGTTTTTGTTTAGCATATAGCTATGTTTGACGTTCTGAAAATCCACGTCCGTTTTTGAACTATTGTTAACCTAGAGAAGTTTGAAATGAATGACATACAACAGCATGTTTGGGCCGAACGAGCCATACATTTTCGGCTACCTCTTACATTAAATATAAAATGATAAAATATTCCGTTTGTGTACGAAGAAGTGAGTAAGTCTGCGCTTCATTGCCAAATGCTCAAAATTATAATGAACAATATAGCGAACACGACGAGTCAAAAACGAACGAACAAATGAATCAACAACTGAAACAATAACGATGTTATTGTCTGATTAAAAATAAATTATGTGCAAGATAAATTGCGAAAAAGCTCGACTACAAACTCTCTAATTATTTTTTAAAAACACACTTTGAATTCGAATTTAAATTACCGGAACCAAACAACAAAGCAAAATGGAAGCGAGCTGAGCCAAAAAGTAAAAAAAAAAACTCCAAACAGAAAATGCAGATAAATAAAATAAATTCAAATGAGCGAATTACTGAAAATAAATAAACCTTATCTGTTTTTTTGTTCGTTAAATTATTTATATTGTTGTGGGAAATAATCATTTTTGATATATATAATATAAATTACGATCCGGTATCACGAATGCAACAGTTTGTAAAAACCAAAAATCGAGTACCATAACTAATTCCGTTGTTAGTGAGTGGAAAAATGGAGATAAATACTTACGCTCTTAACATTATGTTTGAACAGTACAAATTCCAGATTTGTCGAACAATGATATCCCTTAATGTTAAGCTGACGCTGCAAGGCAGAAAAAAAATGATTGTCGATTTGCGATTGCAATTTTAAAAGTGATTGTTTTTGTAGTTCAACACTGACCAGTGTGTGATTTGTAACAAGTGTTTTAACGGAGTTATTTGTTGTTTCGTAAACGGCTAGACCGCCATCATCCGATTGGAATACAAATTTGGTACGAGAAACCCATGTCGGTTGCAAACGATTCGGTGATAGGTCATTTTGTAAATATTCATCTAAAAGCATGCGACGACCTGACCAATACAGCAGCTCGTCTACATATCTACAAACGAAAATATGAAGTAAGCGCAAAAAAACAAAACCACATTGCAATTGAATAGATTTTACCCTAATAGGTAAATTGCAGTTACGATGCCAGCTATCACAAAGCCGATTACTAGTAAGGAAAATATTATACTCTTCCAGTTGTGTGTTTCGCCATAATCGAGCTCCTGCAATGGAAAATATTGAACATTGTCGATTTTAAACGCGGATAGATGGTAAAAATTGATTCGAATTGGTGACATGTCTGGCTTTTGGGTACTTACGTCTAATTTTTCTTTTGGATCTGAAACTTGTAGAGTTTCGTCTGGGGGCAGACGCCATGATCCTCCACCGCTACCACCTCCACGATCTGAAGTCACATTCGCATGCATTGCACAGGCTCAACGAGCCTATGTTAAAACCTACTCTTTGGTACGCCACGCTTGCCGTTTAATTTTGGGTGCTGTCAGTGACGATGGTCGGCGCCAATCACTGCAATTTAAAACGAAAATTTGTCTTTTTACTTTTAACCATATAATTTATTTGTTGGTTTTAACGATATAACTATTTTCAATGTGACGAAATTCTGACCGTATCACGTGATTTTAATTATAGAAAGTCCAGCAAATTCCGAAAACTTGTCGAAGAATCGACAAAAACCAAAGAAACTAATTACACTTTCAGTTTGAATGATTCCAATTAAAAGCTTAAACTTCATTATTTGATGTTTGCATCCTTTTGAATTATAAATTAAAGTAAACAAAAAAGTAAATGGCTGAAAAAATCTGTGTTTTGTTTTTCAAAAGAGTATTTGGTATGAAAACATTTATTCCCAAATGGAAAACAAGCGCGATGTCGGAAAGTTAATTTCAGAAAAAAAGAGCGAGAGAATGAGTTAAGCAAACGACTGTACAAACTGCCAACTCAACTGCACTCACTGCCACTATATTCTCATTAGTAAATTTACTCGATTGTTTGTTTATGTGTGCATGTATTTTCGTTTTTGGCAGCGAATACACCAAATTATTTCTTTGGGTTTTGTATATAAATAACAAAGTGCATTCGCTCAAACGTACGAGCAGGTCGTTATGACCTTTAATTTATTGCAGCAAACTATTCTATGAATTTACACCAGACATTATGCTGTTATTACGAAATGCGACACAAATGTCAAGCAGTTTTGGAAATACGATTGTGGTTTTGTTCACGTTGCTACCGTAATTCACATCGCAATTTATACTTTCTAACTATATCAACGACGCGACTTATTTGCTTTTCTTACATCACGAGAAACAAGTTTCGTAACAATGCAATGAACAATGTAGACTAAACAAGGAATGAAATACAGTAGTTACAAATGAAGAAAAAAAAAAACAAAAACATTGACATAATGTGCCAAATTGTGTTTTTTACACCCACAAATCTGCTTCTTTTCAGATTCTTATCGAGAAATGTTTATTTAAAATACACGCTCATGTATTTTATTGTTAAAGTTTAGTGATGAAAAGATCACCCGTTGTTTTCGCTTTTGTATTTGTTTGTTGCTTTGGAGCGGAATGACACTTTTTAAGCCATTCCCTTCAAAACTGTTTATCTATTTTAATGTAAAGGGGAATATGTGGAATAATACTCGGACTTTTCGAATTAGTGACTTTTTGCATTTAGTCTTTACGAAAATGCATTTATTATCGACAATAAAAAAAGACGGCATTTAAACCAAATTCAATTTTTTTTCATCGGACGGAAATGCATTGAGCTGTCGAGTCACAGTGTCTCCTTGGTTGGCTGCATGACTGACTATGTGCAAAAGAACCTGGAATTGGTTCAATTTTTGAGTGAAGCAAGAAAAAAAAGTGTAACAAAAAACAATTATGTTGCAGCAATTGCGAAACAATGTTAATGTAAAAGTGTTAAACAGTGACAGGATGTGCATGTGATGTCTCCATGATGTCACATAATGAAAATAAGTTCTTTTTTGGTAAACATGAAGCGACTGGATTGAACCAACAACATCGGTATGGGTGTGTGTGAGTGCGCGCGCGTTCAACACAGATGGATTGGTGCAGTGCCACAAGTCTGTCTCTGTTTTGAACGCATTTCAAATTTCATGCCAGCAAAAAGTAGCGAACATAGAATTATGTCAGCAATAAATTGAATAAATATATAATATAAGCAAGGGACGAACAATGTTGAAGCTCATAAACAAAGAGATAGAAACGTTTATTTCGATATTGTCCGAATAATAGAGCCATTAATTCAAGGTCAAGGCTTTTTGCCAATAGCGACGGACATTTCTCATTGTCGCATGTTAAATGAAGATACTTTTATAGAAGCAATTGTACGCACCCACTTTTGTGACAGTTAGAACTTTTTCAAAGTGCAATAAAAATGTTAAGAGATTTATGCGGACGCGCATACAAAACGGAAATGCGGTGCAAAATTTTTCGATTTATAATTCATATCAAGTAGCGGAAAACTTTTGCCATTTCAACTCGGTGCTACAAAATGGCATGGGCATGAGAGAATAAGCCATTGCGACCTCAATAAAAGAAATTTTGGTTACGACGAGATGGTTGACTTAAATCTGAAAAAAAAAAAAAATCATCAGCCGCTCGTATATGTAAGAGTTCATTTACTTGTCGGGGTGTTGGAATGTATATTGGCACGAATCTTGCATGCAAAATGTTTGTGCTGCATTACAATATTTTTCATAGCGGTAAACTATATCAAACGCAACTACATCAGCAAAGGATGAACTGATATAAGTTCGCGAAATCACGTAAGAAAATAGCAATCAAAATGGTTTTATTATTCTTGTTGAATATATGTAGCCATATAAATATTGAATGGAGATAATTTACGTAAATGGATGTTTTCTCTCGCTCTATCGGGCGTGCATCAAAGTGCTTTGTATGCCTTGTTTCCGACAACGGGGTTAATAATTTTTATGCTTATGAAACAAAGAAAAAAACTCGTTCACATACACAAACAAAATCCATACAGCACACACATGAAGACATTATATTCAAACCGAATAAATGAAGCCCCAAATACGACGAGCCTGGAATTGAAATGGCTGGGGGATTCAATGACATTGCAGAAACCATACCAATTCGAAAATGTGTATATTTTTGTGTTTCCTTTTGTGCATTCAGGTCGAGATATTTAATAAGTTTCTTGTGTATTTCCATATATGTACGCTTCTATACGCTTTTGGCAACAGTAAAACTATTTGTTTAGATGAATATATGCCGAATGCACGCAAATAAAGACAACCCAAACCAAATGACGTCACCGCTTAACCCGAAGTATCTAAAGAACCTACAATGTCGGTTTCGTATTTCTTTTTTTTGTTTTATTTTGGTGCGAATGTCACATGCCAGCGATTATAACACGGTGACTCAATTTAAGTACAATCTACCACAGCTGAGATTCCCAAGAGCTCAACACTCAAGTTTGTGGTATATTTATTTGCTGCTACAACTACCGTTGCTGTATTAATAGTTCGTTAAGTGCAACATCTGTGCCGAACTCATCGAATTGATTACTCTTTGTTCAATTTATCTTTTATATTTGAACTTTGATTCGTTCGACATCTTTTTTCTTCTTCAAGTATTTCGTGCTGTTGCCACTATTGGTCTTGCTATCGCTGATGTTGTTAGTATTTGACGTGCCGTCAGAGAGTGCAAGAAGAAATCACGTCGATTGAAATTATTTTCAAGGGAATGATTTCGATGATATCATCATTCTTGTCTTTATTCCCATTTGTCTGTTTTCGTTTTCATATCACATTTCTTAATCTCGCCTTTTTTGCACGTAAGAATCTCTCTTCTTTTTTTTCCAACGAAAATGCAGCGTGACAACACTATTTAATTTTCGTAGCATTGAATGATGGGGTATCTTTATAACGCTGAAATGCATATTTCATGAAGTGTTTGTTGAATTGGTGTTAAGGCGCCAATATCAACACTGTAACAAGGCGCCAATATCAACAATGGTTGCATGATTGAAGACATTATCAACTATATATCCCATAAATTCGACAAATCACTCCCACAAAATTGACTAAACCGAATCAAGTCATCAAGTTCATAATATTTGTCAGCAAAAAAAAAACACATTTGTGAGAGGAGGGGAAAATTACCATCAATAAATAGCCGAATTCTTTTCGATTTTGTCATGCATGAATATCGTTCTGTATGATTCTAATCAATCAAATCCATTCAATGCAGACACCCAAAATTCGGTCGCATCTTATTTCGCTCCTTGTGTTTGAACACTATGAATGTCATTTAAATTTGTCAGAACAAGTCCGGAATATAGCAATTTTCGTTCACATTTTTCTCAAAAGCGTGTATAAAATAGAATCACAATAAACGCCATTTAGATGCATTCCCCAGCTCTATCGTTTTAGATCAACTGATCGGAACTAATGGAGTATGACGATCGATCGGATCGAATAATAAGATTCTGAACGTGTAAACTATTACGTATTTGTCATTTCAATAATGAAAATTTATCAGATTTTTATGTGTGGCATTTTTATTTAAACGTGCGTATCGAACATTCTCGACGACTATCTCATGCATCGTTCGATGTGAACGATTTGCTCATTTGAGCTCACATACCGGAAAGTGTCTGATGGTGTGCAGACAATCAATGGAAAAGTTGTTATTATCACGAAGCAGATAGTTCTCGATTGAAGCATAAGAAGCAATGTGGAATGGTACCGAACGGTTATAAAAGTAGCACCGAACGAAAGAGAGAAAAAAGTATATGATTTAAACTTCTTCGCTTCGAATTTATATCTATTGTACGTGAGGAAAAAGAGACTGTGTTCATTTTTCTTCTTCTTCTTCTTCGTTGACCTCACCAACTACATGGCAACCTTATTCGATGCACCATTGATCTACTATGTTATTTCATTCGGTCTTTTTTCTAAGCGAAAAATTTGTATTTCGAAGAAGAATGTCGCTTGTTTGGTTTCATTTATTTTACTCGTTTATTCTTTCCGTTCGGTTGCTTTGCGATATTATAATATTTTTCATTATCAGTTCAACGTTGAGGTGACGAACCTTTTGAATGTATAGCAAAACTATGGCCATTTCCATCGTTGCTTCACATCGCATTCAAGTCACACACACGCATTTTATTTTCTATTCAAATCGAATCTTCTGTTAAATATGATATAAAATGTTTATCTCTTCTTGTTTTCTCGTCCATTTTTTTCGCTTTCTACTTTCGTTGTCGTCTATTGTAAATTCTGCTATCATGCTCAATGAGCCTCAAACTGACGACTTGTGAAAATAAGAAAATATTCTATATTTTTGCTGCCTTCATGGTTTCATATTTCTCATGTATTTGCAATAGATCCCGAACAATACTCAACACAAAACCAACTACTTCCAATCAAGAATACGTCGCGCATGAAGAAGATAACGACAACGAGGGAGGGCAAAAAAGAAAGCATCATCCCGAAAATGTAAAGAAAC